CTGTGCAGACGCCCGGATCCCTTGCACTGGGCAGCAGCTCCTGCCCTGAGCCCCGTCCCCGCACCCTGGAGCCTGATTAGAAATGCAGAGCCCTGGCCGCAAGAGAGCCTTCACTGGGGAAAGTCAAAGACCAGGCTATCGGAGGACACTGCGCTCCCCTCGGTGGAGTTGTTTGTTTTCGCAGCTGCGTTAAAGCGCGTCAGGCCCGCGCCCAGCAGCCCCCACTCCCGTGGAACAGCAGGCTGAGCTCCGGGAGATCAGCCAACAGCCCACGTTTAGGAGGCGTGGGGTTCCCTTGAAGAAAAACACACCTTCGCAGTGACTCACTCCTAAAGAGAGGGCTGCCTGTGCCCTGCCTGGGGCAGTCGAGCCGGTGCAGTTGGGGCCAGGCCTCCTTGCCTCAGCTCCTGCCGGGGGCGGTCTAGGGCCAGCGTTTTGCTTTTTTTTTTTTTTTTTTTTTTTTTTTTTTTTTTTCATTTCCAGTACACTTACAAGAAGTAAACTGGTTGCTGCAAAATAGTTCTTCGCCTAAGTAGCAAGCTGAAGCTCTCTGGAAAACGTGCATGGAGCGTGGATTAAAAGCCCTTGGAGAAGTGGAGGGCTTCGGTCCCTCTCCCTTCCTGCGCAACTCACCTGGCTTGCTCCTAATCCGGAGAAGCTGAGCCTCTGCCAACCCTGAGGCTGCCAGGGATTTCCCGGGTAGATGGAGAGATTCCTAGCTTGCCGAGCAACTTTGTGGAATTTAGCATTCAGAGCAACTTGATCTCCGTCCCTGGGCCTTGGTAACTCATGTTTGGCTCAGAACAAACTACTCCCTTCTTTGCTTGAGGTCAGAGTTGTTATCCTAAGATAACAAGAGGAGTTGTGCACATTTTGAACTCTGCAAAATGCTTCCAAGGCTAAAAAGGTAAACTGTTAAAGTGAGGGGGTAGAAGGGTCGCCCTACCCTCTGCTCACTTTGCTTTCTTTAGTTCTCCTTCACACTCGCTCTCTAAGGAGCGCCCGGCCTCGGGGTCCCAGCATCTCTGGGACCTGTTAGGAGGTCTCCGTGTGCCCGGTGTCTGTGATACAGGGGAAGTAATGTAACTCCCGACCTGTTCCCCAAAATCCAAGGGTCAAGCCTACCGAACAACAGAAGTTAGGAGTAGGAGAACTTCCTTGAGAGAGCTCCTGAGAGGCAGAAGGGGAGCCGAAAGTGGGCTGCCCACGGAGGAGCTGTAAGTGTGTAACCCAGGCGTAATGGCACAGCCCATAATCCCGGTACTCGGGGAGCCCGAGAGGGAGGACTGCAAGATCCAGCCCAACCTGGAAAATGTGGTGACTTTGCGAGACCCTGTCTCCAAATAATAAATACAAAAGGACTGGGGACATAGCAGAGTGCTAAGGCCCTGGGTTCAGTCCTGTACTGCTCCTCCTAAAAGGTGTTTGTGAAATGCGAATTTCGTATTAACTTTAGGTCTTATCCCTAGGATACCTCATTATGTACATGCAAATATTCCGAAATCAAAAACACTGAAAAATCTAACACAATTCTGCTTTCAAGCATTTTGGATGAGGGATAATCAATTTGTCCTATAGCAGCTGGGTAAGAATGCCATTACAGTGAACTGTGCAAGTTAAGAGAATTTACCCTTTATTTTGTATCTGTAAGTTACTTGGACCTTGCATTAAGTTATAAAAGTTGTCTGAAATCATTAGGTCAATGAATAAATACTGCAGTATTTGCCATGAAAAATATTTACCTTCCTCCTCCCTCTCTCCAGAAGCTAACAAAGGAATTGTTTCCTAAGGAATAATCAGGGAAAATGAAACTGTACCAGAAGAAAAGTCGCATTTCTCAGTATTCTTTACCAGTCATAAGAACTTCAATGTGCAGTTTCCTTGTCAGTAAAATAAAAATATTAACACTTGTCTTACTTGCTTAACATTGTGGCACTGAAAAAATGTGCATAGGGCCGGGGATTTAGCTCAGCAGTTCAGTGGCCTGCCTTGCAAGCGCTAGGACCCGAGTTCAATCCCCGGTACCAAACAAACAAAAAAAAAATGTGTATAAAAATTTTTGTAAATCATAAAATACAAAAAAGTATTTATTTGCTTGTACTTTATAAATTGGATCTCAGAGTTGGTCACAGACATACTCTTTGGTTTGGTCAACTCAGTTCCAAGCACCCACTTCCTTCTATCACCCCCAGAAAAGAAGTGGACGGGCTTCGTACATGTGCTACACAGCTTGTTCATCGAGTTCAATAGCTGCCTGGAGACTCAGTTTAGTAAACCAGGATAAAATCCATTTCCTTTCCTGTTTGCCTTTCAATAAGAATCCTCGGTGAATTACTTATCAATTATATGCCATTTCGATTCTGTGTCATGGATAAAATGTCAACAAGACATTTTTTGAAGCGTGTCATCAGCAAAAAGCCCAACCCACTGCAAGACTTCCTTATATTCTGGACAGAGAAATTTAATATCACAAATTCTTCATGAGCAACTCAAACAAAATGTACCGCCTCATTTCCTGAGGCTAATTTTTTAAATGAGATTTCATACAAGGCTCCAACTTGTAGCTCTCCAAATGGTTATTTAAAACTCTCTCCTATACAGTCTCTGCACAGCTTACTGACTTTAAAAATAACAACGTTTTACAAGAGTGTAAAATTTTTATTACAATTTGCTTTGTATTCTGAAGGAAATTATAAAATTTATTCAATTTTTTATGATAAAGTTGTGATGATATTTTAACGGAAATCATAACGCATGATAACTTGCATATCAAAATTGAGCTAGTTGTTTGGGTTAACACGGGTTTCAGTCACCGTCCTCTGTCTCCATCTCAAGGATGACCTTCATTCTGGTCAGGGATCAGCACAGCTGCAGGTGAGTCAAGAGAATCATCGGAGAGCTGCTCCGACCCCTCTCGGGCTGCTCTACACCTTCTCATAATGGCGAACGCAGACAACATCGCCAAAAGTGAGAGTCTGAAAGAGTCCATAGGTGATCAAGCCATTTTACACAGGAATATTTCTAGCTGAACCATATATATATTATATAAATTTATATATTACATAAATGATTTGACTGTTACGCAAAGAATGATGACATTTACAAACGTCAGTTACTGCCCCGGCCCGTCACTTCCAAAGGTGAACTAGAGGAAACCCTCTGTCTAATGAGTGAATGGCAAGGGTTCGCTGCTCTGGTCTCTGACATAAACATGAAGGAAACCTGAGTTCACAACTTAAAGAATTCCTGTGGTTGTACAGTTAGTAAGGACACTGAGCAAAGCAGACAGGACGGAATGAGTGTCCACGCTCTTGTCTCAGCGGTCTCCTTCGAAAGCGAATGTGATTTGTAACAGATTTTCATAATCTTTTCCATTTGTCATCTAGACAGATTTCTTTAGGAAACCCAGTCATTTGAGCTAATGGTGTTTGAAATGACTTGTTTGAAAATAAGCAGGCAATTGTGACCCTCCGAAGGCTCTCGTTACTTCCACTGCCGTGGGTTGGCCTGGGTGAACCCCAGGATGAGGGGTGAGGAAGGGGGCATCGGCCACATGACTGATGCTACATCCAGCCAGAAGACATGGCACAGAATCACCTGACGACACTAAGGGGCGGTTGTCCCTGACCCTCCGGTGGTGTGATTTCCATGGATGTAGTGTACCTTTACCATGTGTGGCTTGCTCCCCTTCTCTGAGCACACGTGCCAAGTGGGGCTCCCTACTTCCCTGAACGTCAGATTGAACCTTTTAAAAGCAAAAGTTTCCTTTGCTGATCATTGCGCAGAAATGTGGCCAGATTTTCTTTTAGACAAAAGTGTCACTCTACTCTGTGCCCTTACTTCCACACCTGAAAAGAAGTATACGGACTTCATTCTGGAAGTATTCAGAGACAGAATAATCCATTCCCTCACATAACACAAACCCTTCCTTAGCAGCCGTGTGTAAAGCAGCACGCCATCGGGGTGACTCATGACTGTGTCAGTGCCCTCGGGTACCAGAAGTTCACAGCAGGAGGCTCGATCACAGCCTTCTCCCTCTGCAGTGACACTCCATCATCAAGAAGTTATTTGTCAATTGTTTTCCATTTTATAATTTCCATATGCCTACCTAGTTTTAAGCCTGTATGTTTTAAAGCACATTTTTAAAAAGAACTGGAAGGAAATTGAAGCGTTTTTTTCTTATTCTTTTCAGTTACTTATTGACCTTAATAAACTAAAATGGAAATGTTTAAATGTCTCTTATTTGTTATAGGAACCATCAAGTAACTTTTCTGAGATTCAATAAGCTTGATGTTATTGTAATGTAATTGTCATGGCTGTGTCTAGATGTCCCCCCAGAGCCTCATGTGGTCCTAGGCCTTTTCCAAGGTGGCTGGGATTGGTTCATGGTGCAGTAGTACTAGGCTCGAGGGCACTAGGATTAAGGATGTGAGCACCGCCCGCCCTAAGGAGCCTAGATAAAGTATAAGAGGCAGAAGGAGCTGTGGCGGTCCCTCATTGCTTTCTCTGTCTTTGCCTGCAGTGAGCTGTGTCTCCTCTGTGGTGCCCCTCGTGTGCCATCCTGCCAGCGGACTACAGACTAAATCCTCTACAAACTGCAAACCAAATACAAATTTTCTCCCTTAACTTGTGGGTGTCGGGTATTTTGTTTCATCAATGAAAAAAGTAACTAGGACAATCTTCTTTATATATTTTGTGGTTATTGCTTTTGCCTCTAAATTTCACTTGAAGGTTAGGTATTCATAGTAATGCAAAAATTGCTTTCACATGCAGTTTTGGGTAAGCCAATGGTACACTTAAAAAACAAAAAACTATGCCAAATAGGCTTTTTTCTATAATCACAGAGCCTCAGCTAAGAAAACAATCAGCTGGGTCTTTTTGTTTCTCCTATTGATATATTGTTAAAGAACCTTGCTAGTGACAGTATTATTCTAGTTTGGGTTTTTTTGTTGTTGTTTTTTGTTTTGGTACCGGCGATCAAACTCAGGTCCTTGCACTTGCAAGGCAGGTGATGGAACCACTGAGCTAAATCCCCGGCCCGACAGTATTATTCTAAAGGAAAAGCAAGGAGAGAGGAAGGGGAGAGAAAAGAAGGAGGGAGGGAAGGAGAGAAGAGGGAGGAAGAGAGAGTAGAAATAGAAAATAAAGCGTAGTCACTTGTCACTTACCAGGACCATTTTGCCATCCTTAATTTCTCTCACAAATTTTGTTTCCTTGCCGTCCCATTTCTGTGTGTGAATGAGTTTGTCTCCATCCAGGCAGACAAGAGACTGAGCCAAACACAGAATATGACAATAGGAACAAGTCAGCCTTCTGGTGGGGAAGTCACATGAGGAGCTGAGGGGGAACTGCCTAGTTGAATAAACTGTCACCAACTGCACCCTCTGAGTTCTTTACCTTCTGTCCCTTCAGGGTCATCATATAAGTGCCACTCTCTCATAATCTGACTGAAATGTGCACGTCACATATTAGAAATTAAAAGCCTGAACTAGGGCTTTCCAGTCATCACCCGTCCGGTTGACCCAAAGTCTGAGGAGGCAAACTAGCCAGAAAACCTGAGGTAATCAGGAGGTAAATAAGGCACCGTCTGTCACAAGAATGCCGCCTGACACCTCATGGAATGCAAGCTTGATACACAATGTGAAAAGCGTGTGATGAGAGACAAACGGGTCGGAGATTTGGGCGGCAGCCACCACGCTGCTTAGAACATACAGGCACGGAGAGCAGTACCTCAGGGTCTTTCTTCCTTCTCCCTGAACGGAAACACTGAAAACTCTGTCCTGGCCAACTTTGAAGGAAAAAAGACCAAGTCCGGCACCAGGCATCTCTCTTTTCTCCCTCCTCCCATCCTCACTCTTACCTTACACTTCCTGTCGTCTGCACTGATCTCGTCAAACTCCTCTCCCAGGTGGAAGCTGATCTCCGTGTTCTTGAACGTGCACCGGGTCCTGATCACCACCTTGCCCGCCTCCTGGCTGATAAACACTGTCGGCTTGGTCACGTTCCCCACCTGCCTAGTGGCAAAGCCCACGCCTGCAACAGCAAAGGAACGGGTACAATCAGCGGCCCCTTCCCGAGTGGCTCGGGACACGCGTGCTGCCGGTTCCCGGAGCCCAGGTGCCCAGGTGTAAGTCCCGTTAGATGTGGATAATGATTAACGCTTGGTCCGTGAGTCCTACCGCTACTGAGCAGGATGTGTGAGTGCGGGAGAGACTGAGAAAGGCACAGCTGCTTCTCGGGCTCTGCAGAAAAGCAAACGCTCCGTCCATGTGGCCCTGGCCGGGGAGGCAGGCGACTGCCACATTCAAATCGGAGTCCCGCGTGGGACAGGACCGTGTGCTCTCTTGTTGACCTGATGGGTGGAGACCGGAGCCTGCCAGGTGGGAAACGGGACAGAGAGAGCTCAGCCTGTCTTACCCTCACCCACCTAGGGCCTTCATGTACTCGTCAAAGTTCTGACTGTCCGTCAGCTTCCAGGTAGCACAGAAAGCGTCCACCATCCTGGCCTTTCTCCCCTGTAGCTTGGAAGACAGATGAGGCCAGAAACCCACGTTCCCGTCCCCTGCCTCTGCGACCCACAGGACCCGCACGCCAGGGGCAGCTCCCGCCTTCTTCTTTGCAAAAGGGCTGGCCTGACGCCAGCGATGGCTCCCTACTCCCCCGCCAGGGTCCCTCTCTCCAGTAGGCTGTCGCCGGGGGAGGGGACGGCAGGAGAGCTCCTGTGAGCTCTGTGATTGGCTCAGGCCACTGGGTTAGCGGAGCAGGTCAGCGCCACCCAGTCCACTCTGCAGCCCCGTGGCCGGGAGTGCCCCGCGGGGGTCCAGAGGGGCCGGAGCCGGGAGCTGGGAATGAGAGAGGGTCTTTCAGCCTCTGTGAAAAAACTTGGCAGAGGCCATCTCCAACTGTGGAGCAAAGGGACAGGCACAATGGCACATTGAAACCCATTTCCGTTCACGGCAGGGCTGGCTTCAGAGGAGGACCCCTTAGGGAAAGCCGCTGCAGCGCCGGACTTCGCACACAGGGAAGTCTGAAAAGGCGTGTTTTATCTGCTCTTTTATTTGCAGGGAGCCCACAGGCGGGCTGGACTGTGCCAGAGTGGGGAAAGAGGCCTCTGCTGATGGACTGCCTGAAAGCCCAGCGGGTGTCTGGGTTACTGGCTGACGAGGCCCTTTCTCCCTGCGAGAGCGAGAGGAAAGTTGTGTTGTGCTCTCTAAGCACGTGAGAGCCAGACAGGGCTGCAAAGGGGCCTTGAGGAAGAGTGAGGTCAGGATTCCCTAATGAGGTGCCAGGATAAAGAAGAGAGTCCCCCCTTAGCAGACTATACAGTCCGTATGGAAGAGCTGACAGAGGAACCTTCAGTGATCATTTAGGCAAATGCCCTGCACCACAGGAATGTGTGGTTTCCTGAGGCCTCATCCACACTGACACAATCTGTGCACGTGTTGGGAGCTGCTCAGGGGAGGCAGGCCCTGGAGGAGCTGTAGGAATGGGGAGAGCTCTGGCTTCATTTGTGCTGGCTGAAGGCACCCAAGGATGGCCAAATAACTTGAAGGTTCTAGAGTAATAATCAAAGAAGGTCTCTGAGACTCCCTTCCTGACACACAGGCATTCTCTCTGCTTTGGGAATGTAGACCACCAATGACAAGCAGCAGCTTCCCAGCTTCTGAGAAGACAGCAATCTCGTGGTCCCTCAATGCCTCTGCTAGTCTCTCTCCTTCCCGCTTAATGTGCTCTGCTTCTGCCCACACAGATGCAGCAGACAGGAGCAAATCCATTGCTGGATATGTGATTCCACTTCAGCACAGACTCAGAACCCCACACCTGCCCTCCCACTTCCCATTATATTTAGGAATGGCACCCACATCCACCCCACCAAGCCACAAATCTGTGACTCTTTTCTAATATTTCATATTCCAAAATCAAATTCGATGTCAATGCATCTCATTTTGTCTTTTTAAATTGGGGGGGGGATTAAAATAACTAATTTACCTAAACTAATTGACATTATTTCCACAAAATATTCTTAAGTCAATGCATCTCATTTTGTCTTTTTAAATTGGGGGGGGATTAAAATAACTAATTTACCTAAACTAATTGACATTATTTCCACAAAATATTCTTATATGTTTGACCTAATAAGATACATTTAAAGTGGTTCGGTCTTGAAGCGCCATTCTAAAATATTCCAAGTCATTTCTTTTTCAAATTACGAGAATGCAAGACCAATGCGGACAAGGAACTTGGATTCAACATCTTCACCTTAGCGCTTTATAGGTCACAGTGCTAAAATGTTTGCCTACATCCATTTATTTCTTCTACTCCTTGATAAAGATATGGGGTTATGATATGTTTAGCTCAGTGGTGGGGAAGCTATGGCGTGCCTGTTATTTGTTTTTCAAGACAAAAGCGTCAATGCGTGCATTGTTTTTCTGTGCTAAAGCCTCAGTGTATGGGTTTAACTGCAGTACTGGCATTTTGCAGTGAATAAGTGGGCTCTGAACTGCAGTTTGGGTGCTCATCTGGAAAAGTTTCACCATCACTGATTTAGTCTAACTTTAGTGCACATTCCTAGGAGTCCTTTATGTTTCCTGTAATACAAAACATAAAAGTCTCACAGTTCACAAACAACTTTTCCATCACACAGAAGAAAGCAAAAGGGAATATTGCTGTGAAGATGCCTGTAGTAGACAATTCTAGGAAAAGCCGCTTGACTACTTCATGACTCCCTAAACTAACACATTTAATCTAATTTAAATTATTCAGAATGAAATGTATTTATACCTGAGTTATTGCTTTCAAATGGAATATCTTTGCTCTGATTACTGAGGGTTTTAATAGAAGAAAAAGTAAAATAATACAGACTGTGTGGTCCGAAGAAGGATTACAATTTTTAAAATAAGTATTTTTTCCAAGTTTCCTAAACCTGGGAGCAGAATATGATCTTGGGCTTTTGTAATACACATGTACCCCCAGGTTTAGAAAGAAAGCAGTTGTGACAGATCGAATGCTGTCCAAGAGAGATTGTCTGATGCGCTGACTAATAGCAAGAAAGCTCTAAAGAACCTATTATAAAGCTTTATTTTTCCAAAAACAAAAGAAAACAATTTATTTTTTAAGTAATGAAATAAAAAGAACAGAGGGAGAAAAGATGCTTTGAAAGATCTTGGCAAAATCTTCACATGACACTGAATCTCCTGGCACCTGCTTTGTTAGAGTCTGTTTCCTCTTAAGAAATACAGAGTACTATAGTTTAACATTATTCTTAATCTAAGTAAACCAAACAAGGTCACGACACTTTCTTGTAAGAAACCCAAGTGCGCACATCAAGAGAAATCAAATGACATTCAAAGAACTTGCTTCAGGTTCTTTTGGTTACCAGATTATACAAAATAAAATAGCAGTGGGACAATGCTGGATTTGAAAATGAAATGAGATTATGCAGTGATGCCACTGTTGATCCACCTTGTCCCCCATGGTAAGTAACAGAGAGATCAGCCAGACCCCTTCACGGATACATATATGTGGTATAGACGTCCCCAGAGGTGCACCTGTCTCCTGTCATGGGTGGATCGCTCCTCATACCCACCCCACAATCAACCAACTACACCAACTTGGGGCCAGGAGCAATGGAAGGCCCTTCCGGTTCTCAAGCAGGGATGATTACAATACTGGTGATAGAATTTGATAGGGATAGGGGGTGAGGAATGAGCGGAAAACTAGTGGCTTATCAATCTGTCCTTTGGTCATATGAATTTTTTACCTGACTGTACTTTAAAGAATATAGTTTACTCTTAAGTGAAATAAATAGGAGACATGTAAATACTGAATAGTTTCTCTGGTATGAAAAACAAAGTGTAAATAGGATTAAAATGAATAATTGCTAATGTGAAACTGGAAGAAGGGGAGGTGGGGAGTAGGGAAAAGGAAAATAATATGAGAAAAGAAAAAAATGGAAACAAAACCTTTGCAAATAGGGAGAGGTGGAGGGGAACAGGGTAAAAATAAGAACCAAGATACGTCATGTAAATGTACAAATTCCCAAGGATGAATGTAAATGTATTGCATACCCAAAAGGTACCAATAAAAGAACTTAAGTAAAGAAAGAATATAGTGTAGATCAGAAAGGATTCCCAGGAGTGTCACAGGTGGAAAAGAAGTTTTAGAGAAACATTCTTCTCATTTATTTCCTATTCCATACAGTTTCCCCCCATATTTCCCTCCTTCCCGTGACCTACATGTTCCATTCTCCACGTTCTCTTAAACGTGAAGTTCTTAGTTTGCTTCTGATCTGATAAAGTGACTCAAGAAATAACTTTTCTTATTACAAGCTTATTGTTAGCCAAGTACCAAGAATCACTCTCCTCTGCCTTCTACATACCACAACTTTGCCAAGAAAACTCTTCTCTCCTGCCCCCTTGGTCAATTTCTCCTTTTACAGTTCAGCTCAAATTTATTTCCTGAAGCGAAGATGGGTTTGTAACCCCACGTCGGTGTCGTCCCATGATTTCATTTATGTCTTTACACATAGGATAATTTCAAATAAACACTTCTGTGATCGACTTAACAATACCTTCCTCCCTCAGAAGAAAGCAAATACCTTGATTTATCCTTTTCATTCTACAAAGTGCTCCATACCCAGTGACCAGTCCAGCTTCAAGTCCGCAGGGTCTGCTCAACAGGTATTCAAGGTATGAACGAATACAGAGTGAAATAGGAGAAACAAATTTAAAATGTAAGCATTTAAAGCACAGTCTCCATGTTCTTGTCCAGTGTTGATCCAAGCTTTTGCTCCGTGCAAGCTGCCTGGTCCCCAGCGTGGGGTCTCTGTGTGTCTTCCTCATCTCTGCCATGTTACTGCTGGGCAAAAACGAAGGCTTGTTGTTTTTCGCTTTTGTTCCCTTTGCAGCGAAAGCACACAGAGCATTGAAATGTGCGTGGATTTATTAATTCAGGAGTCAGCAAGTTGTGTGTCAGCATGGCAGCCGGATCCAAAGAATGCACAGGGGAATTGTCTTTTCCAGGGGACTCTGGTCTGCTTATTATGGGCTATTACCTTTTTTCATGGTTGTTGTTCTCTTGTCCTTAAAGAGTTCTCTTATTAATTCTGTACATGAAATACCAAAGGGAACTTTGGACACTGATCACCAGACAGGTAGTTCTTTAAAAATATCAATCTAGGATCAGTTGAAGACTAAGGAACCCACTTAGCCCGTCTGAACATAAAAAGGACTAAATACAGGGAGAAAGATGCTTACAAAAGTCTTGAAAGTGTGACAAGGACAGCTTTTAGGCTGAGCTGAGTTTGCAGGAATAGGCACAGAGCACCACCAAAGAAACCAGGCAGCGGCGGTCCCTGGAGAACCGGAAAGCTGCTTTCCACCTGCAGCCCCGGGCAAGCCTGCCTCGGGAATTGCCACCCTGAAGAGGGCGTTCCGTTCGGCGATGCTGATTCCAGGTCACAGCACACGAGCAAATCTCACAGCAGATAACTGGGCGTCCTGTGCGCCTTCTGTCGCGTACTTAGATTTGGGTTCTCTTCTTACACAAGCACTGTGGAAGGCAGAACCGCATGGAGGACCGCGCAGTGTGTGCCCGGGCTGACGCGTTGCTCTGTCTTCTGCTGCTTCTGCAGGGCAC